TTTGTCTAATAATGTAGCTGCGTCCGAACATATTAAATTTCATATTAAATTTGACTGTTAAGACGGCATATAATGTTTTTACAGAAAGTTGCAACTTCTCACTGCTCCAATAATCATTCCTTAGTGAAAATACCTTTTCAACAGCAGCATTAGTGCCTGGACAACATAAAGAAATTTCTGTTAAACCTTTTAAATTTTCATGTGGGATATGTTCTACTCTAAAATGCCGAAAGATTTCTACCCATCTTTTTTCAAGTTTTATTTTTTTCATTGTTCCATTTCTTCAACTTTTCTTCATTTAAAAATAAATTTACTCTTCCAATTTATTCAAAAAGAAAATTGTCATTAATAACAATATCTTTTACTTCCTTTATTACAAATTCGACTGCTGAAGAAACTTTTTTCCATTAAATTTTACTATTTATAAGGGTACATATAAATCAATTCAATGCTCTTAAGTTCATTATCCATTCTTCGATATATTCATAGCAAATTTTATAAAAATTTTTAACTTCTATTAAAATTTTTTTTTTTTTCCGGAATTGAAATCTTTCAAAGCAGTCAGTTTTAATATTGTATATAGTAGGGTATGTATATATTTTTTAATTTAAGTTTGCCTTTAATTTGTTTTTTTATATTTTTTTGCAAAAAAATTTTTCTGTCACTTTATCCTTTGAACTTATGTGATTAAGTTTTAGTTTTCTCTTACGTATTTTCTCACTCATCTTATCTCATCCGTTCATTTTCTCTATTTTTTTTCATTTTTCTTAGCGTTACTCTTTTATATTTTTGTGTTAATTCCAACTTTTTAAATAGTATTGATCCTTATACTTCTTTTTTTATTACTTGTATTAATGTTGTTTTCTTTCTTTCTTATTATTTTTTATTTTATTTGTTTATTTTATGAAGGTGTCGTTCCATTGACTTGTTTTTAATATGAGTGACACCGAACATAAATTTGTAAATTATAATTAAGTTTGTAATTTTTGATTTTATGGTTAATTAACCATAAGCGCATGTGTAGTATGTACAGTAAAGTTTTTGTTAACATTTTATTTAATTAAATAAATGGATAAAAAACTTTGCTGTACATACTACGCATGCGTCAAGACTGTCTAGCATGGCGTACATACTGCACATCAAAGATCAGCCTGGGGATTACATATGCAAATGTTGGATCCATCTCTTTTCACAAATGTAATTTTGACATTGTTATAAAAAGAGGTGTGTAGTATCTATCTATCTCTCCAGGTTCATAATATGGCCTCTCAATTGTGTTGAAAATGGCAGCCATATGTGCATTCAAAATTTAAATCACTGTCAAACTTGTATCTGGTGTTTGCCCTGTCCTCTTACGTGCTGGAAACGGCAAGCAATATGTGCGCATGAAATTCAAATCACTGTCAAAATAATTTTAAATATTTGATTAATAAAATTGAAATGAAATAATGTAAAAAAAGTGTTTTAGAAATACAAATGAGTACAAAATTATACAAATGAGTACTTTCAGAGTACAGGATTTGAAAAAAGTACGGTTTGTGAAAAAAGAGTAAAAAAACTCAGTAAATGAGAATAGCAGGTCACCTTAATTGTCTACATAATTTTTTGGTAGATTTCAAAGTTCTTGCAAAAGATGGTTTTATCTATGAAAATATTGAGTTTAAAATCAATCTTGCTGTTATCATATGTGATGCACCAGCTAGAGCATTTGTAGAGTGTATTAAAGGACACAATGGTTATAACTGATGTGAATGTTGTGCTTAGAAAGGAGAGTGGTGTGGCAAGATAATTCTCCTATTTCACTAATTTTAAGCACTGATTCAGATTTTTTGTCATTAAAAGCATTCTTAACATTTTAGTGGTGTGTTAAATTGAATTAAATTTTGGCATGGTGACAAAGTTTTCTTTAGACTTAATGCATCTAGTATGCTTAGGGGTAATGCGAAGATTTCTCAACTTATGGTTAAATTGCCCAAATGTTGTAAATTGTCTCAGATTACAGTCAATACTTTATCTGGCGGATTGTTCCAGATACGTCATTACATTCCAAGAAGTTTTTTTAGAAAATCAAGGTCTTAATTAGATATTAAAAAATGGAAAACAACTGAGCTTAGACTATTTATAGTATACACTGGACCAGTTGTTTAAAAGGAATGGTTTAGCCAAAAATCTATTCAATTTTTTAGATTTTTCAGTTGTAGTTCTACTTTCATAATGTTTCATTTTGTTGAAAAAATATGTTAATTTTGCTTTTCAGCTACTTATTTTTATATGTGAACTTTATCATAATATTTATTATAACTAGTGTACAATGTCCATTCATTAGCACATATAGGAAATAATACAGTTAAATTTTAGGTACTTGATAGATGTCCCTGTTTCAAATACAAAACTTTTATTCCCCCTAGACAAACATTTTTTAATTGACTCAGGTCAATTAAAAAATGTTTGTCTAGGGGGCTCATTTGCAAATTTAGGGGCCCTTTTACAAATGTAAGGATTTTTTTTTTTTTAGGTTTTTTTATTTAGATTTTGTTTATCTATTGGAAAAGTTTTTAGGAATTTTGGGGCCCTGACAGGTTTTTTTTTGGATTGGGGGACTTGTATCTAGTAGCCACGGCACTGTATATAAGGTATATACAATATATATCAAATTATATACAATATGAATAAAATAATATATTTATTTAATTATTTTATATAATTTATCAGTAACTAAAGGAATGCTATCAATTTATTATATGAATCATAAGCATGTGCTTATCTATTACAAGTACCTTTGATGGTGAAAATTACATTTTTTATCTGAAGAGAGTTGGGAGAAATGATAAGAGTTTTATAACATCTTAAAATTAATGTATGTGTTACCAATAAAATTTAAAACTAACAGTTAAACTTAATTTTTTACAGTTCATATTGAAACGAGACATTGTGTAAAGAGGTTTTCAAAGAAGTCGTTTTAACAACAATGGTAAAGCTTCCGATTCCCGAGATAAACGTGAAAGCATTTGATACATGATTAAAGAATCGTTCAAAAGTTTGCTTAATTATGACAATGTAATTTTAATTACTTTTTTTTTTGAAATAAACCATTCAATTTATATATAAATTTGCTTTTTCTGTAAATTTTAAACATTTAAACGTAGTTTTGCAAGATTTGCCATGGGTAAACCTCGTGGGACCCTCACGGAATACCCGGCGGGCATACCATTATGGGCCCCAGAAGAAAACCGCGGCCATGATCCGGCGGGTTCCTGATGGGTTTCCCATATGGGTCCCATTTGCAAACCCAAATGGGTCCCTTACGGTTTTAAAGTAGGGGATTTGACAGGGACCCATACGGGATACCCGGCGGGCTAGCCCATATGGGTCCCATATGGAAACCGCGGTCATGATCCGGCGGGATACCGTTGGTCTTCCCATACGGGACCCAGTTGACGACCCGTATGGGCCCCGTACGGTACCCGTATGCCAATGTTGGCTGTGATATATATATATATATATATATATATATATATATATATATATATATATATATACAGTAGCTTTCATAAATTTAGACGCATTCATTTTTTTTATAAATATGTAAGAATATACTCAAAATAAAAATAAAATAAAAGTACTACTGCTATGTTTGATATATAATTTACAAGAGGAAGTGAAACTCTATTAAAGAGTACCTTAATTTTTTTTACAGGATGTTTATTACTCATTCTCTACCGATTAACACAAAAAAGTTAATTGATAAGCTTGATTTTATTTTGTTCATAAATTTAGACGCACAATCAAAAAAGTCTTATATCTTGTTAATTGATACTTAATTAGTAGTTTTTCCACATATTTCTCATTAATAGGCCTAAAGTAATTGATTCTGTCAAAAAACCTTATATAAATATGACTTACCTGGAATTAGTTAATCATTATTTAATAAATAAACAAAAGTTAAGTTAGTTTCGCACTAAAAAGACGCGAAAAATGGGCAAAAGACTTATCACTCAAGGTGAAAGATGGCAAATTAATGCGCACATCAAAGATCTTGCCACTATCTCCCCGTGCTACAATCTTTTTGTTCCACCCAAAAAAACTCAACAATTAATGACGTAATGATGATAACTAAGCTTTAGTCAAAAGCATATAATAAGAATCAAAGTATAACTTATAGTCTGAGTCTCATTATATGATTTTGTCATTTCCCTACTTATAGTATCACTTATACTATATTATAACTTAATATTACTTAAAGTAAATTTATTTAATCTATGCTACCCGTGAACATGAATCACTGGTGTCACTCGTTCATAAATCATTGGTGTCACTCTGTCAATCTTTCTTTATAAGGAAAGATAGATTATAATTATTAATGTGTAAAAGTTTGGGTATTTAATAAATTTTGTAATAATTTAAATATTTAATAAATATATTAAAACCATTATATTTATTAAATACCATAACTCTATGTACAAATTTAAAATAAAATATTATTATTTTATATTTTTATTATATATATGCATAATATTAGGTACGTGACATAAAAATTTTAAATTAATTAAATAGTAGATTGTTATATGTCATTAGAAAGGCCTTTAATTCAATTTTTCAAAAGTGAAAAAATTATAAAAATCGAACATTTCTATAAAAAGTTATACTTGATTAAGTGACGAATTACCGATATATGGATTTTTTTTTACTAAAACTATCATATCTTAGTCAATTCTCATCAAAATCCTTATATCTTGGCGTCAAAAAATAGGTGCAAGAATAACCTACAAAATAATAACAACCTTGAGCAATTGGGCATACCGTGGGGGCGGCGGGCGCACAGAAACGCCATCTTTAAGGTCAATAAAAAGAGATTTTTATTAATAAAAAAGTGTTTCTTCAGGAAACCGGTCTATTTAATATGCTAAAAGTTGTTACAATTTTATTACACTTCACTGCCAAATATCAGAGGTTCATTAAAAATATGGGGTGGACGTTGGGTGTTAAAATTTAACACACCCTAATTAAAAAAAACAATCATTCTCATAATTATTTTTATCTTTATTTCAAAATATACATCTAATAGATCAAGTTTATAAAATGAATAATTTTTTTTACATCTTTAAAAAAGTGGTGGTGTACACAAAGACACGAGAAAAGGGCGTATCCCTCCTCCTCTGACCTAAAAAAAATAATTTTAAATTAGGTTTCCTAAAATAAAAATTGCTATTATTTTTAATGTTTTATTTTAATATAAAATTGTTTTTACCATATTACAGTAGTAGTATTACAAGATGCATCCAGAGTATTTATTTTTGAAGAAGGAAGTAGCGGTTACCCCCTCTGACCTATACAAATTATAAATAATTTAAAATGACGTTTACTAAAATAAAAACTGCTATTATTTTATGTTTTATTTTAATATAAAATTATTTTTACCTTATTTGAGTAGTAGTATTACAAGATGCATCAGTCTTCATATTTGCTGAGGAAGATGTCAAATCCCCCCTCCGACCTAAAAAAATTTTTTATACATTTATATATGATTCCAAACAACTATTATGTGTTTTGGATTTTAGTTAATGATTAAGATAAGTTTTCAGTAATGAAACTATATAATAATAATTGTTAACGATAGACAAAATGTGAACGTAAGCCAAAAACCGTCTATCAAAAAAAGTTCCACTACTTGCTGCACATTAATTTTGCAAGTTTCACTACCTGCAAAATTCTGTACATTTATGTTGCAAGTTCCTCTACTTGCTGTACATATATTTTGCAAGTTCCACTACTCGCTGTAGATTTATGTGGCAAGTTCCACTACTTGCTGTACATTTATGTTGCATGTTCCACAACTTGCTGTACATATGTTTTGCAAGTTCCACTACTCGCTGTAGATTTATGTTGCAAGTTCCACTACTCGCTGTACGTTTATCTTGCATGTTCCACTACTTGCCGTACATATAATTTGCAAATTCCACTACTTGTTGTACATTTCTGTTGCAAGTTCAACTACTTGCTAAACATTTATGTTGCAAGTTCCATTACTTGCTGTACATATATTTTGCAAGTTCCACTACTTCCTGTAAATTTATATCACAAGTTCCACTATTAGCAGTACATTTACAACAAAAATTCCACTACTTGTTTAACCTTTATTTTGCAAGTTCTACGTTACTGACGTTTATGGAAATAAAAAGTACATTTCCATGTACTTTTTATTTCCATAAACGTCATTAACGTAAAAGTATCTAAAAAACAGCGTATATTTATTAAAGTTAAATGAATATAATCACAAAAAAACATAAAACTTCATTATTTTTTGCATATCTAGATATATAACTTATATGTGCCAACATAGCACGGGGACCTAATTTAATGTCGATGTATCGAAGATAAAAAAAAATGTTTCTAGATTAAATAACATAAAAACATCTCACTTACACTACTCACATGTATACTAAACCCCTTGTAGAAGATCTCACTTGTATTCTAAACTCCTTGTATACTAAACCCCATCTCACTTGTATACTAAACAACTTGTAGAAAAATGAAAGCGTTGAATATTTATCAAATTTATATCTATGCTAACATTTCATTAATGTTAAAGGATTTAATGAGATTAATTCCAACGCGATTTAGAGAAAATCTCTTTGATATCAACATTAATAAATTTAACACAAGAGCACCTGGTAACTTTTTTGTACCCTGGTAAAAAAAAATCTCATTTCTCTATCTCTTATTGCGGATAAAAGCGATAGATAATATATTGTCTGTAAGAGAATGAACAATGAACACTAATACAGATAATATATTTCTTAAAAAACTAAATTCAAAAACCTTTTTTCTAATATTAATAATTGCATTGGAATGTTCTTTTGAATTAATTTTTCTTTTTACATATATCTTGACAGTATTTTTTAATTATAGCAATTTTATTTAAATTAAAGTGTGTTTTATTTATCATTGTTTAAAAAATTGCAATCCATACGTAGTTGTGAAAATAAAAACATAAAAAAAAAAAAAATTTAAAGTTTTAAAGTAAAATTAACTCGATAAGAAACACTTGAACTTTTAAAAATAAAATTAGGCGACAACTAATTAATGGTGGGTTGGTACTTAAAAAATCCAAATAGACAATAAGGTTTTTCTAGACCAAGGCCAAACCCAAACCGTTTGAACCGGGTTTGTGCCTTGTTGTTATAATCCCAAAACGTTACAGTAAGGAAGGAAGCGTCCACGGCGACAAAACCTATAAATTTTCTTGGAGCAATAAAAAAAAAAAAAACGCCAGACCCACTAATCTAACGGATTGGGTATGGGTCTTATTATAAGCGGACCCATTATAAATATAATAAGCTGACCCTACCAACATTTTTTCAACTAATGATATTCAGAACTTTTAAATTGCGCAAATTTTATAATCTTATTTGTTATTAGACATATATGCCAATAAAAGCAAACACTTTTTTCAGTGGTTAGAATCTAACAATCAAGAGTATTTGTGTTAGTGAATATATGTATTACGATAATTATTATATTTACACCTACAAAAGATTCAGCCCAATTTGTGTTGTTAGAAAAAATATTGGTCCACATATTCTATAATATAGTTAAATTATACTTTTATATTAATATTTTATAACCGTACCCTTTACAATGATAACAGCTACACAAAGATGTGGCATTGACACATTTAAAGCCGAAGACCACTGTTTTAAGGATGCGTGTTTGAATCATTATCTTGCTGAAATATCCAGTTTTATGGCATTGTTCTTTCAGCATACTATAGGAAGCTGTTTTCTAAAATGTTTTTCTGAAATTTTTCAAGATGTTCTTCTAAGTCTTTCACTATGCGGACAATCTTTTAAACCATATTCACAACGGCATTTTACAATAATATCGTTTACAGTTGATATACCTATCGAATGCAGTGAAGCTATTTAACGATAAGATTTTCCTTCTTTTAAAAATTTTATGACTTTCTCGCGAATTTTGATTTTTGTAAGGCGAGCCATGTTTATACTTTTAGAACCTTTTTAGAACTTGATTGTTAGAATTTAGAACCTAAATGTAAACATTTAACGCATTATTATTTCTAAATATTTTTATTTTGAATATTATTCTGCTTTGATGTAACGGAAAAACCTTTAACGTGTAAATATAACAACTATAATAATAAATGCTTTCACAAATTTGAATAATATTCTTTTACTATGTTATTTTTTCTTTATTTCATACTAACAATCTATAGTGGTTAAAAACCATTTTTTTAAATAAGCTTGAGTACAAAAGGACCGGAAACTTTTGCACGCCACTGTATGATGCTAATTTTTTTAAAAACCTTATTGTATACTAATCTTTTTAATCTGCAGGATCATCTACGCTCGGTATAAGAGTGGTTAAACACTTAAGTTCTTGAACATTCTTATACACTCAACAAAAAACTCCAATAAGCCGCTAAAAAATACTTACATAGGTTCACTGCAAATCCACCAAAATAATGTCTGCTGGGTTTTCAAAATTCTGTTTCAAAATTTTGTGTTATTTATAACGTTCGAACCAATCCTCATTATACTTACTTTCTGCAAAATGACCAAGGTAATAACCAATGCCTAAAAGGCTCTGGAAAAATGCGTGATTTGGGAATCATTTTTACATTTAACCATAAATGGAAAACACAGAGTTGTCTCTAAATCCTTTCTCTAAGAGCTATATTTTCATAAATTTTCATTTATGAAAATATAGCTCTCAAAGTATATAAAGTGTTTATAAGATAACACATTGAATATGCAGCGGCTATTTTACCAAATTCTTTGGAAATTTGTAGAAGTTTAATATTATCGTTGTTACGTTTGTTAAATGCTTATTTGAACTTAATTAAGGTTCTGATGACCTTTAATCTTCATTCAGATACCTTGTTTTATATGTGTGATATCGTTCATCAAAGATTTGTGAAAGTTTATTATTTTTATTTTTGGCAATATATAATAAATAATATCGTAATACGATCAACAAATGTAAAAAAAAAAGACTAATAACCTATTAGAATAATAGACACATTTATATAGTTTTATGGCTAACTGCTTTAGCTTTTAAGTAGGAATTTTTTGATTCTATTATTGAAGGCTGAGGAAAACTAGTTCTGATTAATATGGAAAACGGGTGGAAAATAATTGGTGGGATATGTGTTTTGTGGGTCTCGTATATTCAAACGAAAAAAGTTATTGAATAATAGAGCATAAAAAAATGAATTATTTATTTAGAGTATTTTTCAAAACGTTAGTAAGTTAAGGCGTCAAAAAAACATTAAAAAAAATATTTTTCTTTTTAACTATTTGAATATTCTAGATCTCAAATATGACTTTGCCTTTCTTTGAAAATGAATAAAATGTCCCTAAATTAAGATTCAAATGCAACATGGTAATATTTAATAACGATATTAGCAACCTTGTTTCCTTATGTTTTTGCCCCTTTTAAGGTAGCAGATCCCCTTAAAAAAAATTGCTTAAATTTTTTTTATGGAACATTATTTGCAATTAAATTATATTTTAAATTAATTAAAGTTTTAACATAAAAATAAAAAATAAAAAAAATAATTAAGTACTAGTTACGCATTTAAGATGCCATTTAGAAAAATTTTAAAACATGATTGTAAAAGTTTTAAAAATGCTAGTAACTCCAAATTTTCAAGGTGTGTTTAAAGTACTTTTAACTGGGGTTTCTACTACGTATGTGAAAAACGGATATTTATTTTTTAAGTTATTCAATTTTTTTCGAAAGATAGTAAAATGAAGTAACTAAAAAAAATATATATATATACTTAAAATAAAAATTGAGTTTTGATTGAGGTACAAACCCCAGAAAACACAACAAGGAACATTTGCTGAAAATTTCAAAGCAAAATCTTTTTATGTGTTGCAAGTTATTCAAAAAATAAAACGCAATAAAAATGCTCAAAAAGATTGCGTAATAAAAAAAGTCATAAAATTATTTTAATTCTACAAGTTACGTGCAAAATATGTTGCTCTATCTTTATATATTATTTTGTCAACGAACCTTTTTTTCATAACATTTACCAACTTTAGTTTGTATAAGGTATCTGCAGAAGAAATTTTTTTGTTCATACCTGCTGTGGAAGTCTTTTTTGTCTAATATTCATTATCAAAAAAACTTCTTTAAACTTGAAAAACTTGCAATTGGTAATGAGGCTGTAGTTTTTTCTTTTTCTTTTTTTGGATGTATTATAACTGTTTTTGAATTTATATTCACGTATTCTAAATGTACATCAAGTCATTTTTATATAAAGGATGCAAACAAATTTGTAATGAATTTTTTTTTTAAGCAAGCATGCAAATATAACTAAAAGATGTGGTATTATCAGTAAACTTTAAGCTATGAGACTTATCTTAAAGTTTATTTAAGCAATGGTAAAATATAGGCGAACAGGATATTTTAAGAGCTAAGTTTTCTCCAAAAACCTGACTATAAAGCTGAAAAACCAATAAGCAAATTCGTTGCTATGGTGGTTACTAGGGAAATTTGAAAAACCATTGTGCACTAAACTATAATTATTTAAAAAACTTTAGTTTACAACAAACCGGTTTTACGTAACTAATCTTTGCTAAGTTCATCATTAAAATTGACTAAAAAAATTTTTGGAAATTTTTATGGGGATCTGCTAACTTAAAGCATATTTGCATAAATAAGTTCAACACAGATTTGTTCTTAATTGCTTCTCTTTTTCAAACACCATTTGTTGTAGTTTACCTTTTTAGTTTCAAAGTTAATAGATGTTTTTGACAATAAACTTCCAAGTTTTTCTTTAAGAAGTTTTTACTCATGATAATTCTTTTTTATAATTTAATAAAAAATATGGCAAAAATAAACAACAACAGGTAAAGTAAGGTTTGAATCGTTCATAATTAAAAAAAAAAAAAAACTTGTTTCAAAACTTTGCTCAACAACTGTAAAAAAAATTAGTTAAAACAAAGATAAACAAGAAAATGATAATTCAAATAATTTTTACATTTAAATTTACTTTCTACACATAAAACTAGTTTTCCAAAAAAATTTTTGTTCTCATATTTGTGAAGGTAAGTTAAAACGTTATGTTTTTTGTGACCTAAATGTTTTGTTTTAGGGGCAAGACAAAGCTTGAAAAAACTAAACAAAAAAGGTACATTTTGCAGAAGAATTCAGTCAAAGACACACGGTGATTTGTTAAAACTTTGAAAAAATTTGAATAAAAATCAAAAAAGGAACAGGTAATAAGTGTTGGCATTATGTTAGCATGGCAATTACAAAATGTACTTCAAATTTAGTAGAGAAGCGTAACTTAGTTATTGCAACATTATATCACAGCACTGTTTTTGTTTCGGACAAAAAAAATTTATACCTAAGACAAAATTTTTAAACTCAAAAGACACTTAGATAAAATAAAAAAACTTTAAACATACAAAAGTAAAGTAAATTTATCATAAGCAATCAATAAGAAAATTGTAACCAATTTTGAAAGACGTGATTCATCTAAAAAAGTACATAGCTTGACTTAAAATTGGGATGAATTGTTTAATCAAGTAATATAAAATTGTTGCCTAAAAAATTGTGTCTAAAAAACAGGCGTGTTAGTTCGAGAACTCAGAGGTCAGTGGTTCGACGCTGGCTCTAGCCCAATAAGCGACATTGATAAGGAAGGAAGAGAAAAGTTCTTAGTTAAATTCTTTTCCGTGGTGCTCTGCACCTTTGTAAGGACTTCTAGGAGCACCTTAATAACTACACACACAAAAAAAAAAAATTAAGTTGTAAAAACACAACGAAAGATTAGGGGAGAGTCGGGTAGCCCCGGACACTTAAGGAAAATATAGATTTACACATGTGCCAACAGAAAACAAAGTGTCAAAAGACTTTTTTTAAAAGTTCAAACATTTATCTATCGAATTAGAAACAAAAAAATAATTATTGTGCATCTTAATAATATACAAAACATAAAAAAAAATGTTAGAAAAAAGCCATATTTCAAAGTTAGAGGGTAGCCCCGGACACATAGTTTAACCATGATTTTACCTCTTTTTTTATCAGTGTGACACAAATATAATATATAATAATTTAGCATTGGAATGTTCTTGACACATTTTTAAAAAATTCCCCTCTAAAAATTGCCTCTGATATATAAGGAATGAGAATGAAAATGTCATCATTTAAAATTATAAACATAATTTTATAACAAAAATAAACACTTTAATAACACTTTTTTCAAACCTAATGTTTTTTTATTGGAATTAAATGAATTACTATTATAGGTTTGTGTATTATATTAAATGTATTAGTAATTATGTAAAAAAAAAGTTGTTTATTATTAACATGTAAACGAATTAAGTTGTCCGGAGCCACCCTCCAAACATGTGTCTGATACCACCCGATCATACCTCATTCGCAAATACTAGTTTTAAAACCAGTAAATTAACGTTTTAAACAAACTTTTTTTTAATAACTGTTGTAAATAAAAATGTATCTTTACCCATTAAAAAGTAATTAGTTTACATAAAAATTAGGTGTATTAATATGTGAATCAAATATGATGATACTTCGCTCTTCTGGTGGTGTGAAACAAAATCTTGCCCTCGCAGTCATTTGCTTCGACATATTATGATAGATATTTTGCATATGCCATATTTTCACACAATGTTATTATAGTATTCAAAGTCACATAGCTTCTTTAGTTTTAGCGTAACATTATTATAAAAAACACATAAAATATCGACTTTAAATCAAGCGAAAGAACTAAAAAAAAAGACAAAAGACTTTAAGATTGCTAAAAAAAGGGTATTTTGACAAATTGAAAGTGATTGAGGGTGGTCAATTGTAATGTCCTGGCCCATTTTAATGTTTTTAATACACCTTTGATTTCATGAATTAATTTTTTTATTTTAAAGTTTGTTTCTCTCTCTCTTACACACACAAACACACACACACACACACACACACACACACACACACACACACGCACACACAAATTAGGCGTCATATCGAACCTTATATCTGCGAATTGCTAGACTTAGAAGTTGTTTGGTTAAATATGTATGTTGGTACAATTTAAATTTTAAATTCTACTTCATCATCTTTTTTTTGGGGGGTGGAATAAGGAGGAGTAGGTTTAATTAGTGGGTTATCAGCCATGCTCTCGAAACAATCATGGTATCTCCATGTAGTAAATACCATAGTTTAAAAATAAGTTCTTTTTTTACAACCTAACTAAACAAAAGTTCAGTTATCCAATCATAAGTTTGTGTACACCATTTTACTTACTCTCAAGGTAGCATTTTACTTAAAAACAAATTCGAGAGCTAATAGAAATAATATTAAAACTTTTTACTTTAGCCGTTTTGTTTCTGTTGTTGCATACACGAAATAACCAACTCTTTAACTTTCATGTTTTGATATAAAATATTTTTTTAAAAATTATATTAATTAAGTAACTATTTATTTAAACAAATATTTGTGTCGGCTAATATATTTATGTGCTCATTGTGCCACACAATAGAATCGTGATTAAGATAAACATAAAAAAATAACATTTATTAGCGGTAATTACAGCTAATCAATAGAATGATTTATAAATGCAAATCAATTTTTTATTTTTTTCAAGTTAAAAAAGGCATAAGTTGATTAAAAAATTGAATACTTCATATAACCTGACAACACATAAAATGTTTTATAATGTCTAAAGAATAAATATTTCAATAGGATGCCTAGTGAGATATTTGAACTGAGAGGTTTCTACTTCTTTAGAATTAACTTAATTAAAAAATAAAATTAATTAAAATATTTGATTTTTATTCTTAAAAATAAATAAAACGGAATGAAAAAATAATATTTCAAAAATTTAATTTATTTAACGCATTTTTAATTTTTACAAATTTTTATTATTTTTGTATTTTATTCTTTGAACGACAGACGGTAAAAGGGTAATTACCTAAAAAATATTTCCTTGTTTTTGTCCTAAATAATATTTGTAACTTTCAAAATTTTAAACTAGAACTAAACTTAAAAATATAAAAAAAGATAGCATAAAATGAGAGCAAATGATATTTACCTGAGGTAAATCCATTGAACACACATTTACTAATACATTGCACGAATAATTTATCATTACTGCATACGATAGATAAATATATCCTGCAATCATTATGAAAATTAAAAAATTTGGCGCTAATCTAAATATTAGGATGTTACAAAAAAATCCGATTAGTTACCTACCACAAAAATATTCGAATACGCTGATGACGGTTTTATCTTAATACTATTAAATTTACTTTTTTAATATTTATTAACCTTTACACAATACAAAAATAAAAGTACAAATGCAAACAAAGTAGAAAGTTTAAAAAAAGTAAACTGTATTTTTATTATTAAAAGGTTGCTATGTAGTCGCTTTTTATTCTCAACAATATTACGGCACATTAAAACCTTAATAGTCAAGGTTTTAATTGATAATTATTTGCAATTTTACAAGCTCAATTAAATTTGTATTTTACGAATTTTATCTACGCAGAAATTAATCCTTCTCCGTCTTGGTTGCTAATTACACTTTTAATTTTAGCGTTATTTTATGGTAAACCTAATTATAAACTTTAAAGCATTTGTGATTACGAGTTATGACTTTTAATTAATACATTATAGATCAAGAAGTTATTTGTGGTTTATTTATTTTTCAATAGTCATTTTAAATTTGCATTCAATTGAAGCTGTGAGTAAATGGCCTGTTCATTAAACAAATTTCTGATTTCATAACAACCGACTTTTTTTGTTTTGATCTTGCCATGACTCGCGAAATAGTTTTTTTTTTTTTAACATTTTGCAAATAGGTTTTTTAAACCTCTACAAAGGAGGGTATAATGGAGACAATCCAATTTGCTATTTGTCATTAAAATTAAATATGTCACAAAGTAAAAACATACACTTAAGTGCTTAACATTAATGACATTATTTTACACGATTTAGACACAGTTTACACAAGCTGTTTGCAAACATTAACTTAGTAAATGTTATTTGATATGTCACAGTTCAAGACGAATTACAAAACATTTAACGTCGGCATTTTTAATGAATTAATAATCTCGAAAATGACTGTTATATCATCTGACGCTAAATGCTTCGGTAATTGTTCTTTTGACTTTGTACATTTGGATTTCTTTATTATTATTTTTTTTTATAAATTATGTTTAAAAGTGATTACGTTCATTAGAAAGGAGATAATGATAACGCTTTCAAATTTCTGTAAGAAATAATTAAAAACTTTCATGTAAGTGTGAACATATTTAAAAAGTTGAAGGCTTTATTATATAACGCACATTAAATTCTCAACTTTTTAAATCGATAAAGTAATACATTTTAAAAAAACATCTGCCGAACCTCGCGGCTTGAGTTAGAATACATATTTAATTAAACATGGCTTTTCTTAATAGCGCCTAGTATTCCTAGATTTAATAGTATAATTAAAAACTTAAATGCATTGTTTGACGAAATAATCGCCACTCTCAACAAATTGAATAAGATCTGTAAAATTTTAATGAGTTTAAATCGAGGTTTTCACATGAAAAGTGGCTGGCGTTATTAGTTAAGTTAAATAGATATAAAGTTACGTAGTTAAAGAGAAAATTATAGGCAGCGAGTAATTTTTTAAATAACGTATTTAATGTTATTTTGTTTCGTAAGTAGTTACGTAAAAAAATAAACATGGAAAAAAAAGATGGCGCAACTAATAAGAACGATGCTGAACATACTGTCGAGAAAATTGCTTATAGAATTATTCCAGTTCCTTATTATTACCCAGTTCCAGTAGATCCAGAATGGTATTATGAAAACCATGAAAGACTATCAAGACAGAGTGAGCGTTTATTTGGATTTCCAGAACCTCATTTAGAACACTTTCGTCCTTCGTTTTCACGACCACGTGTTCGTGAAGAATACTCTTTACCTGACGATCGGTATGAAAATCGTGAACGTTATAGAAAATCGCCACTATCCAGATCAAGCCATATAAATAATCGCGAATACGAAAGAGAGTACGACAGAAGGCAAATCGATGACGAAGAAAAACAAATACCTATTGTAAAAACAAGCGACTCTTTTAATAACGGTCGAACTTCAAGAAAAAATCTAAAAAACAACAACGGTGATACGGATGATTTAGATCTCTCTAGTGACGATTGCCACAGCGATAAAGCAACTAGCGAAAACGGACGCAATGGGCAGCGCAAACATTATTTAATGAGTTTTCCCTACGACCAAAAAGATGACGAAAGTAAGACAAGTGAAATAGATGCAATGGTAGTTGATGATAACCAGCCATCCACTCCACAAGAATCAAAACAATCGACTGATTCCCAAAAGGTGGAAGAACAGAATGATTTAAAATGTGAAAAAAAAGTTAAAAATATTGAATCAAAAGATTTAGATCGTTCGCTAAAGCCAAAATATATTTATGATGGAGCTCATCAACCAGTTATTCCTAGCAATGTTCCATATGTGGTTTTAAAATCTTCTCATTCACACGATTTAATGAGGGAACCACGTTACTCTATGCGAGATATTGATAGTCCTCGTTATGAGCCACAGTATACGCATTATTCAAACAGTCACAGTCGCGCCTCTTTAGAGGACAGTAATGAAGATATGGATAAAGAAATGCGTTATCATTCAAACGGTAGACGCGCGCGCACTGTCTTTACTCGAAAGCAATTGATGACATTAAATAACGTATTTGAAAAACATCCTTTTGTGTCAGGTGAAAAAATGAGCGAGTTATCCGATCAACTTGGACTGGACAGAAAAATAGTTAAAATTTGGTTTCAAAATAAACGACAGTACGCAAGAAAAAAAGGGTCTTTGGTTGAGCGCGAAGATGATTATTATTACAATTATAGTCATGTGTTCACTTCCGGAACCCCAACTATGGCTGAAAAATGGAAAAACGGAAACTAAACGGTTTTTTAAAATTGCTTTAGAAAAATAATGTTACAGTAATTTTGAATGCATGAGATAATTCTGACTAATGCAATTCATTGAGCTATTTTCTTCATATGTCTTTAATGAAAGACATTGAAGCAGCTTTAGAGCAGATGCCTTAGGCAGCATATGTTCCAACTTACTTAAATTTGACAGCCGGTTATTAGATATTATAAATAGACGTAAATTGTGTGAATTCTTTAGAATGTTATTCTAAATAGTTTAGTTGTTTTTACCCACAATCCTTTAGGATGTATAAAAATCTGTTTTTTAAATCAAAATTTGGAGCTTTTTATTTTATTTTAAAAGTAACGATAAATATAATCCATATATTCTGTAAAGTTTTTTTGCCGGTATTTAAATTTCAATACAAGTTGTTGCCACTAATTTCATATTTAATAAGACCCTGAGGTATCATTTCTGTGATCGGGTTTTGGTATTTTTGATATGCTTGTTTGTTTGAGGGTTTTAAAGCATGCTTTTATTGTAAATACGAAGTTTAGATTAATATACAGAAGTTTAATTTAGTATAACAAATAAAATTAATAAAAGATCTTTTAGTTTCCTTTATCTCATATTTATAAAAACATAAAAATAAATATTATTCTGATGTTTTACGGTTGAAACTTCATTAAACGCTACTTTATTGTATACATATATATATATATATATATATATATATATATATATATATATATATATATATATATATATATATATATATATATATATATATATATATATATATATATATATATATATATATATATATATATATATATATATATATATATATATATATATATATATATATATATATATATATATATATATATATATTGCATAGCGATAGATAGCGACAGATAATTAAGTCTCTTTTAAAACTTTCCTGTTTTTAGAAAAAAAAAATTTAAGCGATTAAATTTTCAATATTTTTTATTTTCTTTTAAGTGTAGAAAATAGACGCATTTTGAAAACTTATCTGAGAACTTAGCAATACGAATTAAATGACGCTATTATGAGTTCTCGTAATTATTATTATATTTTCAAACAAACGCAGGTGCAATTTTTTTAAAAGAGATTTTATCTTATGACTCAGAAAAAAGGTTTAATTACTAGAAACCAGTAATTACTTAAAAATCATTATAGCAAAGCAGGTGTAAAATTTGTTTTATTCTCTTGATGTCGCTGGTTCAAAAAACGATTAATTATAGTTAAACAAAAACATAATTTCTAAAATAAGACTAGAATGTACTAAGAATGTGTGTGCATATATATATATATATATATATATATATATATATATATATATATATATATATATATATATATATATATATATATATATATATATATATATATATATATATATATATAATCTTTATATGCGTATGTAATGAAACTGTAATGAATTTGTTGATTTATTTAATTTCAAATATCAAAAATTCTCTTGAACTTTTATGAAAGATATACAAAATTAATTAACAAAATTGAATAGTATTGATAACTAACAGCTGTATGATATTTAAATATTAGTCAAATGTTCTTATTAAGAAATTGATTATTTCATGTGTGGAATAATTGCGATTGCGGCGTAGAAGCGATTAGCCAATCCATTATATTTTTTCTTTAGAAATTAATTCTTAAAAATGCCAATGCTACTTTATCGGGTAATGCATTCTACAACTTTACCAATCGCATGGCCGACTTGAAATAGATAAAGTTTTAAAAGCTCTTCTTTTACTTTTTTTGTAAAATTTTACACGTTTTTTTGTTCCTGAAATACGTTTAAAAATTACAATTATGTTGACACTTTAGATGTCTTAGTTTCTTTTGAGTTTAGATTAATGTGAACTTGTGCGTGTATTACGCGTGTATAATGTGTATTTGCGTGTCTTATTTAACAGCTAGTGACTACATTTTTTTGAATTAAAGGAAATTTAGGTATCTGTGAGATACCTAATTAAGGTAAAGTATGATGTAGAACTATTCGGATTTTTTACTGCAAGTGCGTGTTATAATGCGCAAAAAAATTAGTTGTGCAGAAGAAGATAATACGTTTTTGCGCGCAAGAAGCGTTTGAATTATCTTGTTGAATAACTTATAACAAAAAATACGTTTGTTCAAAAAACAAAAAATGTTTTTTGTTTTTGTTTTGATGATCGTAATAATGGTTTTAATTGTTAACTTTTAACACATTTTATATTTGCTCAATCGGTTTTTTAATAATAATTTAATTTAATAAGTTGTATATAATTTATATAAAATACATTTAAATAAAAACTAATATTCAAGCAATTAAAAATATATTGTATATTATATTTTGTAAACGTTTATGTTAAATAAAATAAAAATGCACACGTAAAATACTTAAATAATTATGTGTTAACTAACAAAAAGAGGTTGTGGCTAAAATATTTATTTATCCAGCCGCATTAATCACCCAATCACTAAAATTTTAAAATTGTTTAGTTGACATAATTATTTAACCAATGCAAATTTATTTTAAATATATAATTAGTGAAGTGCATATTATGTAACAAAATTGAATTATAAAATGCATTCAGTTTATTCAGGATCATTAAACAGTTAATTATTTATTTTGGGCAGCGAAACACTAAATACCATATCGATGGTGGTGTATCGTTTCTAAGCAACCACATTGTTTGCGATGCTAATCACCGATATATCTATCAATCATCTGAATGCTAAATAATAAAATTAATTTTTCTACAGAAATTAAAGTTGAAAATTTTTTAAACTGAAAACTTTTTGTCTTTAAGTCGCAATTTTAAAGATTTTATTAATAAATATCTATATAACCTCTCATATCTAATATTATTATCTTCTTTTTTTTATAAACACTTATATATATATATATATATATATATATATATATATATATATATATATATATATATATATATATATATATATATATATATATTTATATATATATATATATATATATATATTTATATATATATATATATATATTTATATATATATATATATATATATATATATATATATATATATATATATATATATATATATATATATATATATATATATATATATATATATATATATATATATATATATCCCACTCTCCTCTAAAACAGTTTACGGGAGCAGTTTACAGCTCTCTAAAAAGTATTTTTTTTCTCTCTCAAAAGTTTAATTATCATCGTAACTAAAATATAAGTCATTTTAAATTTTGTATTTAATAAGCAATTTTTATATAAGTAAACAGGTAGTTTGTGCAAAAACAAAAAGCTCTCGTAAAAACAGTTTAGAAGAGCAGTTCGCATGACATATATATATATATATATATATATATATATATATATATATATATATATATATATATATATATATATATATATATATATATATACATATATATATATATATATATATATATATATATATATATATATATATATATATATATATATATATATATATATATATATATATATATATATATATATGTATATATATATATATATATATATATATATATATATATATATATATATATATATATATATATATATATATATATATATATATATATATATATATATATATATATAATGATAGATTATATTGAGTTTACGGTTGATCTTTTTTGGTAACAAATTGTTAATTAGCAGAACAACAAAAAAAGATACTGCGTTACACTTATTAGGGTTGAGCTTTCCACATAAAATAAGGTTAATAAAAGTTAAATAACAAATATGTTATTAATGTAACACGGCGTAAGTTACAGTTCGGTACATCGATGTTTTTTCGTGCATTTATGGTTTTTACTGTAAAAGCTCTACCCTTACTTGTGATATAGCAAGTAGAGTGATGTTTACATAAGTTGAATTAAAGTGGCTCATATAAAAAAATTCTTTTCTATATGAGCCACTTTAATTCAAATCAAAAATTTTCAAAAAAAACTTGATTTTTATTATACTTTATGACTTTTGATGCAAAGTTTATATATCTTTCAGAAAATATTTAAATAAATACATTTTGCATAAAATACTTATTATTGCTATTATCATTATTATTATTATTACCTCACTTAAACTTTTTTTCAGTTTATTATTTTTTTTTTTGTTGAAAACTTCCATTTATTGGAAAATTTTAAAGAATTTCGGCGACATCGTTTATTATAAAATTATGTATTTTTATTTTAAAATATGAAAAGAATTATGTAAATATGGTCTATATATTCCATAACATTACAACCAAGTATAGCCGCAATACTATTTGTTTTGTGGAGTGGAAAATATAACGTGCATTACGCACATGTTTTGACAACTTCCTTCAAGTTTGTGTAGCTTTTTAAATTTTGTTTGTCTTAAAATGTCTCGTTAATTGACTTTAGGAAGAAAGAAAAATCCAAAATTAAAGGTAATCTTTCACAAAGATAAACAAGACGTTCGAAATTTTAAAATCTCCTTTATTACGGTATTACAAAACTGTCAAAAGTTATAACGAAGCTGCTTAAGAAGATGATTTTAGTTATTTTTGATTATAAATTTTAAAATTCTAAAAGATTTTCTGATTAGTTTAACTTGCTCTAAACGTAATGCGAGACAAGTACTGAGTTTTAAAATTCTTTTCTTATTTTAATTTTCATTCACTCCCAAAAAGACTGCAAGGAACTAAGATCTGAGCGAAGGGGGTGGGGGTGTAACACCCCACTCTCCATCAATGATTTTTTTGTTTATTTGGTCGGCAAATTTGACCCTTTTAGACAAGTCAGTCGGCAAATGTAGGCCTTTTTAACAAGTGAGTCGGTAAATTTAAAAAAACGAAGGCCTTTTTATTTACTTTAGTCAGCAAAAATGTTTATAATACCCCCCCCAACCCCACGTGACACCTACTCGCACCAGCCCTGCAAGCAACCACTATTAAGTTGGGAATATATAATGCATAAGACTAGAAATGCTTTAAATAAACAAAGTTTAACACAAGTTTAATTATATTTTCCTTTTATCCATTGTCATTTAAACTATGCAAATATTGATTGGTGTAGTGCTAATAAAAATAAACTGGAACCTCTTTATCGTCAGCAGAAGCATATTGCTCGTCTAATCAATTTTAAAGACAGATTAACTCATGCCAGGCCTCGTTTATTTGAAATGAAAATTTTTAAAATATATAAGCATAATGTTTTTAATACTCTTTGTTTTATGTACAAATGTAAAATAAATTTCTCCTAGTTTCTTTTCATAATTTATATACCTTGAAAGATAAAAATAAGTACAATTTGAGAAATGACAATTACATTCGGCAACCATTTTATCAAACTAGTTTTTGAAAAACAAACATTGCATTTCGCGAAGCTTCTTTTTGGAATAAAATAGTTTTAAAACATTTTGATTTTCTCTGGAATGGAGTTACCTCTCATTTAAAAATAAACTTAAAGAAATTATCGTGTCTCTGGAAAATATATTTTTATATTTTTAAACGTTTAATAACTTTGTATTATTTGATGTATTTATACTATCAAGTTTTTATAAGGATAATCAACTATATTTTATTATG